TCTTTCTCTCTTTCTCTCTTTCTCTCTTTCTCTCTTTCTCTCTTTCTTTCTTTCTTTCTTTCTTTCTTTCTTTCTTTCTTTCTTTCGACAAGGCCTCCTCATCTCCTTATGTAGTTAGCCTAGAGATTAGCCGAACATCTTATGTATCCCAGACTGGACTGAACCTTGCTCAGCCTCTGGCATGCTGGGATTACAGGAATGCACCAACATACCCATTGAGACAACAATTTTTATTCCTACTTTCCTTTTAGTGCATAGTCAGAAGAACAGGGTTAAGAAGGAAAAATTAAATTCAGGATGGCGTCCCTGGGAAAAAAAAAGACTTGATTTAGCTTAATTCCTTTATTTCTGCCTTCTTCTCATTCTACATCATGGTTGACATCTCGTTTGATCTGGACAGCATCATTTTGAAGGTTCTAACCATCTCCCAAGCTATGCTTCATTTCCTTTCCCACTAAAAGTTACTTATTGGGGATGGGAGTATCATGGGACAGATACCCACTGATGTATGTGTGTTCTGTAAAGGTAGAAATACAGTGAATCTGCATCATGATGCTATGATTGACTTCTACAAGATTCTATTCATGAAAAATGCATGTGAAGTTACGAGATCCAAAGCTGGGCAGAGGACTATTATGGAGAGTTTCCTTGCCACTCAAAACTCTGAAAATTGTAAGCACAGAGAGATATTTTTAACCTTCTAATTTGTAAAACAAAATTGTGTCTTTAGATATACTTCTGTGCATTTTGTAATGCTAACACACTACCTTTGAACACTGTTTTGTAAATGAGAGAGAGAGAGAGAGAGAGAGAGAGAGAGAGAGAGAGAGAGAGAGAGAGAGAGATCGGAAATAGAGCGCAGTACCCGGGATCCTGCAGTTCTCATCCCTCCACAGAACTTAGAGAATTCTTGAGTATTTTGCCATAGAAAGTTACCATTACCTAGACTTTGCTTAAGTGTCACTTTTTTTTATTTTCAAAAAGCTTAAGATGCCATTTGAAAGGTTTAAGTTGTACAAATAGATGTGTATGAGGTTTGGTTCTGGTTTGTGGTTGCTAGTCCCAGGTCACCTTGCTCACTAGTGAGTTCATCCAAACCTCAAAAGTCACACCTGTGTCCTGTGCGCGGATGCTGCAGGCTTAGGTGGAGAAAAGCAGGGCTAGAATTGGAACCCAAAGCCCAGAATGGCAAGAGAGGATGTGGGGGCTCCACCCGATCATCTTTGGGTTCACCAAGAAGGAATCTACCGCGACGAATATCAGCGCACATGGGTAGCTGTGGTGGAAGAGGTAACTGCTTTGATTTTAAGTTGTTTTTTTTTAAATTCTGCTTTCAAGCAACCTGGCTTCTATCTAGTCTGAATATTCTGATGTTTTTGGTTTTATTTGTGATCATTCCTATTAGGAGACAAGTTTCCTAAAGGCTCGAGTCCAGCAAGTTCAGGTTCCTTTGGGTGATGCAACTAAGCCAAGTCACCTTCTTACATCTCAACTACCTCTCATGTGGCAACTCTACCCAGAGGAGCGCTACATGGATAACAACTCTCGCTTGTGGCAGATTCAGCATCATTTAATGGTATACATGTTACTCAATCATTTTCCCTATACTGGGGTTCTTACAACAGAGTACTTTATATATAATTTCCTTTTTCTGACAGGTCAGGGGAGTACAGGAACTACTCCTTAAACTTTTGCCTGATGATTAACCTGGTATGTATTTCTACTTTCCCTCCTCCTTTTCCTTCTTTGTTTACACTCTTATTCAGTTGTAGTGATTTGAATGATTTTTTTTTCAGGTGCTGGATTTCTAGGAAGATACGCTCCTCTGTTCTGTTCATTACATGGCAATCACTTCATTCACAACTGCTGTGCTCCCACCCTTGAGCCTGAGGGGGTAGGGGAAGGATTAGTTTGAAAAACTGATCAAGAACAGAAATGTTTAGGAAGGGTCATGAAGAACATTGCCAGTGACACTACAGAGAAAGGGTTACACAGGGCAGAAATCAAGCCAACAAAAGCATTTAGTCAGGATATGTAACTTGAAATTGACTCCTTTGGGAATTGCCATAGAATCTTTAATGGACTTCATCGGCTGAACCTAGGATCTGGTGAATCCCACAAAAATCAGAACATGCTACAGAACAGATGCCCTCATCACCAAGGACTTGGTACTGATTTAGAGAGAAGAGAGCAGCTTTTACAGCATCAACATGTATTTGTTGCTTATTTCCCCTGCAGCAAATTCACCTGCTTTTCCTTATTTCATCCTGTAAATATATGAGGTTTTGTTCTAGTGTTTCCCATCCCAGTACTGACCTAATTTGGATCTACTGAGAACTTAAGGAGTTCTGGGAGAAAAAAGGTTATTTGTACTGATGAAATCAGCTGCAAAGGCTCCTATGCCTTTCTTCTTTCTGAAACTGTGACTTTGAATTGTTTTTACACGTTTCTCATCAAAATTTTGTAAATTATTTTCTAAATTATTTCTTTAATTACAATATTTTACATATTTGGCATCCATATGAGCTCAAAAGATAATGTTAACTTTAATTAGCACCTTTCTCAAGAGGTAATAGCAACTAATATTGCTAATTCCTGGGAAAGCATTTATACTACTTGTGAAGAATTTCCTGGATTAAAACAGCCATGACAGTTTATGTACATTGAAATAAGCTTTTGCTTTTTAAAATAAGTCTTGGGCCCAGAGCAATGATGTATGCCTATAATTCCAGCTATTTGGAAGACTGAGGCAGGAAGATCACTTGGCCCCAGGAGTTTGATGCCAGTCTAAGAAACATAATGAGATCCTGCCTTAAACAAAAAGCACTTGGGTATAATAACCACCATGTGTTGAGTTCTTATTGCTTTCCAATTACTGTTCCATGCACTTTATATATTTTATCATGTTTAGTCCTTCCGTCAGTTCTTTGAGGTATGTATAATTCCCATTGACATGAATAATGAAAGAAAAAAATCATTCAAGGAGTTTAATCATTTACCACAGGGATTCTTTTGTGAATCATAGAGCCAGGCGTTGAGCTAGACCTTTAAAACTGGTGTCATTGCAACATTGGTTTACAATATTCAAGATGACTAGACTGAAATTTTTCATGATGATCTATATCTTCCATATTAATGAGGTGGCAATATAAAGATATAGTTGATTCATCCTATTAATGAAGAAAGAGTATTTTTAGTGCATTTATTTTTCCAGCTATTGTTAAGTTCATTCTACTTTCCCCAGAAGAAAAGTCCATGTAGATAGACTACAAGGTCTTTATGACTAAAACTAAAAAAGAAAAACTATAATTTTTTTTGTTTTAGTTTTCTGGATATGCCACAAAAGGATCCATGCCAGAAACAAGCCTGTGAAATACAAAAATGTTTACAAGGTAGTATATAGATTTTTTAAAAAAATATTTTTCAACTTTACCTGTCACCTAACTATAAGAAACTAATTAAGTTATCAGCAACTTTCATTAACTTTAAATGTAACACTTATATAATTAATCATAAATATTTTCTCCAGTGTATCATGAAATGTTTAGAATATTAAAAGTGATGTTATGTAGGGAGTAGGAGGCTGTCTTAAATATTAGAGACCACTTGCCTAATGTGTACAAAAACCTCAAGGTCCTCAGCACCATACACAAACTAATGTCATTTAAGCTATGGGTTCTTGAGTCCTATTGTACATTAGAATTACCTGGAGAACTTTAAAAACATGTCTAGCACACTTAATGCAGATTTCCTGAAGATAGAGTCTGAGCAGATATAAGTTTACAAAGCTAACTAGGTGATTTTAATGTGCAACCATAGATAAGAATTACTGAGCTAAGGAAAGCACTTCTATAAAAAGACTTGGTTTGGAGTTGAGGATATGGCTCAGGGATAGAACACTTACTCAGAACACTGAATATATACACAAACAGAAAGAGTACATACTTATAATCCCAATACTTTGGAAGGAAAGCAGAAGCAGGGAGATAAGTACAAGGCCAGCCCGACTACAAAGTGACAGCCTATCTCAAAACCTCAAAAATGCATACATACATACATACATACATACATACATACATATCACAAAACAGTTTTTAATACTAGACCTCAAGGAGTAGGAATTAGTGCAGTGGAGGACTAATTATCAGTTTGATCTCCAACCACACCTACAACAAAAAGTTCAGGGCATCTGTATCACAACTCAGGTGGCTGTAGATGTGTGATTTACTTCTAGTCCCTTTGTTGTCGTACTTATGCTCAATGCTGCTTTGGCTATTGGAGGTCTTCTATATGAATTTTAAGCTGTATTGTCATTTTTATTAGTATTCTACAGATCTATGCACATGGAAGGTCTTCTTTCCATTTCCTACTGTCTTCAATTTTTTCAGTATTTCATAGTTTTCATTGAAAAGTCTTTTATTTTTCACCTTATTTGGGAATATTCATAGGCATTTTTTGAGGCTATTATTTTCTCATTTATTTCTTTAATGAACTTATTAGGATATAGAAAAGATACTGATTTTTATATGTTAATTTTGTATCCTGCTACTATACTAACTTTATCAGTTCTAAAGCTTCCAGTGGTGCCTTAGGCTTTTCTAAGTAAAGATCTTATTTATAAACAGGAATAATTTTACTTCCTGCTTTTCTATTTATATTCATTTTATTTCTTTCTCTTGCTGATTTCTCTGCTTAACGTTTCAAGTACTGTATTAAATAAAGGTAGGAATAATGGAAACCCTTTCTAGAGGAAAAGGTTGTTTTAATTTCCCCCTATTCTGTAGGTTATTGGCTATAGGTTTATTATATATAGCATTTATTCTGTGAAGATACAACCCTATCATACCTAGTTACTTCAGGGTTACTTTACATGAAAGGATGTTGAATTTTACTAAAAGCCTTTATCTACATCTATTGAGATGTTAATGTAGTTGTTTTAACTCTCATTGTTATATTGTATTTATTGATTTCTGTATGTTCGCATTCTTGAAAAAAAAACACTTCAATATGTCACTAAATTAAGTTTTAAAGTAGTTAACATAGGCTATCTGCATGTATATTAATTAAGGATATTGGTTTTGTAAAATGAATTTGGAAGAACTCTTTTGTTTATGTAAGATACTTTTATTTCTTTGTATTTTATCCTTTTTTTTTTTGGTAGAAAATCATCTATTCCTAATCACCTACTAATTTTAGGTCATATGCCATTCAGTTTACTTATACTATTTATCCTATTTTCTTTTTTATTAGATATTTTATTTATTTACATTTCAAATGTTATCCCCTTTCCCAAGTTTCCTCTCTGCAAACCCCCATCCCATTCCCCCTTACCATGCTTCTATGAGGATGCTCCCCTACCCACTTACCCACTCCTGCCTCACTGCCCTAGCATTCCTCTACACTGGGGCATCGAGCCTTCATAGGACCAAGGGCCTCCCCTCACACTGATGCTGGATAAGACCCCTTCAGCTCCTTCAGTCCTTTCCCTAACTCTTCCATTGGGGTCCCTGTTTCAAGCATCCATATCTGAATTGGTCAGGATCTGGCAGAGCCTCTCAGGAGACAGCAGTATTAGACTCCTGTAAGCAAGCACTTCTTGACATCAGCACTAGTGTCTGGGTTTGGTGTCTGCATGTGGGATGGATCCCCAGGTAGGGCAGTCTCTCTCTGGATGGCCTTTCCTTCAGTCTCTGCTTCATTCTTTTCCCCTGTATTTCCTTTAGACAGGAGCAATTTTGGGTTAAAATTTTGGAGATGGGTGGGTGGGCCCATCCCTCAACCAGGGGGCATGCCTAACTTCTGGATGTGGTCCAGACAGGTTTTCCCTCTCCTTTGTGGGGTATTTCAGCTAATGTCATCCCCATGGGATCCTGGAAGGCTCTTGCTTTCCTGGCATCTGAGACTTTCTGGTTGCTACCCCCAGTTCCCAATACCCCATTGCTACACACCTCTGTTCAATTTCCTGACCCTCTGTACATCTCCATCTTATCCCTTACCTGATTCTTCCCTTCTTTTTCCCCTCTCCCTCTTCTCTTCCTCTCAAGTCCCCCCCACCTTCTACTTTCCTGGATTATTTTGTTCCCCCTTCTAAGTAGGACTGAAGCATCCACTCTTTGGTCTTCCTTCCTCTTGAGCTTCATGTGGTCGTTCCAGGAGTTGTATCATAGGTATTCCATACTTTTTGCCTAATATCCACTTATCAGTGAGTACAAACCATGTGTGTTCTTTTGTGACTGAGTTACCTCACTCAGGATGATATTTTCTAGATCCATCAATTTGCCTGCAAATTTCATTAATTTATTGTTTTTAATAGCTGAGTAGTACTCCATTGTGTAAATATACCACATTTTCTGTATTCTTTTCTCTGTTGAAGGACATCTGGGTTCTTTACAGCTTCTGGCTATTATAAATAAGGCTGCTATGAACATAGTGGAACATATGTCCTTGTTATATGTTGGAACATCTTCTGGGTATATGCCCAGGAGCGGTATAGCTGGGTTCTCAGGTAATGCTATGTCCAGTTTTCTGAGGAACCGCCAGATTGATTTCCAGAGTGGTTGTACCAGCTTGCAATCCCACCAACAATGGAGGAGTGTTCTTCCTTCTCCACACCCTTGCCAGCATCTACTATCACCTGAGTTTTTGATCTTAGCCATTCTGACTGGTGTGAGATGGAATCTCAGGGTTGTTTTGATTTGCATTTCCCTGATGACTAAGGATACTGAACATTTCTTTAGGTGCTTCTTGGCCATTCAAGTTTCCTCAGTTGAAAATTCTTTGTTAAGTTCTATACCCCATTTTTTAATAGGGTTATTTGGTTCTCTGAAGTCTAACTTCTTGAGTTCTTTGTATATATTGGATATTAACCCTCTATCAGATGTAGGATTGGTAAAGATCTTTTCCCAATCTGTTGGTTGCTGTTTTGTCCTATTGACAGTGTCCTTTGCCTTAGAGAAACTGTAATTTTATGAGGTCCCATTTGTCAATTCTTGATCTTAGAGCATAAGCCATTGGTGTTCTGTTCAGAAAATTTTCTCCTGTGCCCATGTGTTTGAGGCTTTTCCTCACTTTCTCTTTTATTAGGTTCAGAGTATCTGTTTTTATGTGAAGGTCCTTGATCCACTGAGACTTGAGGAAGAATTCTTTTTCTTTATTTTATTTTTTTGTATATGAATGTTTTACCTGCATATATGCCTCTGCATTACATGTGTGTTTGGTGACAATAGAGGCCAGAGGAGGGTATTGGATCCCATAGAATTGGAGCTACAGACAGTTGTGAGCTACCATAGCAAACCTAGGTCTTCTAGAATAGCAGCCAGTGCTCTTAACTGCTGATTCATCTCTCTGGCTCCATCATTTCCCTTTGTATTTTGTGATCTAGTCTGAGGATCATTGGTGTTAGTTTTGTTTTGTTTTAAGACAGTGGTTGTTGAGCATCTGTCTAATATGTGCAAGGTCCTAAATTCAATCCCTGATACCACAAATGTGTCAGGTTCTATGGTTTTCTTTGATGGAAGTCTTTTTTTTTTCTTTTTTAAATCATATTTTCAGACTCATTGCTTGCTATTTATTTATTTAGAGTTTTATATTTTGGAATTCATATATACAGAAAATTGTCCATTTTTCTTAGGCTTTTCAATTTATTGACATACCATTTTTCAGAATATTCACTAATTATTTTGTTGTTTCTGATGTAAATTTTTGTTAGTATTATTATTATTTCTGCTGTTGTTGTACTGGAAATTGAACCTGGGGCCTTGTGCAAACATTCTACTAAGTGAGCTATACTCTCATGTCTCTTGTTGCTTTTTAAATTTTGAGGCAGAGTTTCACTAAATTATCCTGTGTAGGCTTGAACTCACTTTATAGCCCAGGTAGGCCATGAACTTGAGATCCTTCTACCTCAGCCCGCTGAGTAGTTTAGGATATAGCTCTGTAACACTGGGCTTAGATTTTAATTTTATTAATTTGAGTCTTCTTTTTTTTGTTTAGTTTAGCTAGTTTGTCAATTTTGTTTATCTTTTCAAAAAGTCAACTGTTCCTTTGACTCTTTGTATTTTTTGTATTCTCCATTAATTTTTTACTTGATTTTTATTTTCTTTCCATCTATTAGTTTTGAGTTTGGCTTACTCTTATTTTTTCTAAACTCTTGAGATACATTCTTAGGTATTTATATGAAGTCTGACTTGTTTTTAATATGGGGACTTATGAACTATGAGTTAAAATGCACTTTAAATCAAATAGACTTACCAGACTTCTACGGAATATACTATCTAATAGCAGCAGAGTACATATTAATCAGCCTATGGAACTTTCTCTAACATAGATCAGGCTGGCTAGCTAGCTTAAGGTTATGTTGTTCCCCATTCTAAAAGCTTGACAGATTTCTAAATCAGAAAGAATTCAATAAAGCTGGGTATATCTTCCTTCAAAGTGCTAAGTGAAAAAGGTTGGAAAATACTTAATTACCTTGTACCTTCTTAGTTCTCTGAGATGATTACTAAGAGTTGCCTGTTTTTCAGCCAACAACTATTTGGAATCGAAGTGTCAGGCTGTCATTCAAGAACTTCGTAAGTGTTGTGCTCGATATCCCAAAGGAAGATCTCTTGTCTGCTCAGGATTTGAGAAAGAAGAGGAAGAAAACTTGGCAATGAAGTCTGGATCCAAGTAAAATTGTACTGAAATGTTAAATTGTGCTTCATGTTTCCCTCAAGCATGTTTTATTTACTGTCCCTCCTTCCAGATAGGTAGCAGCAAATGGCAAATTAAAGAGTTAGCAAATATGTTATCTATGCAAAATAGACCAAAATATCAACCTATATAGAGAATAAATATGTATAATATAAAAGGGAGCTGCTAAAATAAACCTGTTTTATATTAAATTTTTGGTTTGTTACTAAAGGAATTTTAAGAGGCTATTACATACAGATGTTAATGAATTTGCCTTTAACCCCTGAGTTCAAATGTTATCTGTATGTTGACCTTGCTCACCAAATCTTGGATCTCTGTTGAATATGAATGAGATACACAGGGCATAGTTCAGAAAACAGAGATTATTATAGAATAACATGAAATACTCTGAAGAATAAATGAGCAATAGCCAGAGTGACCATTATGCTGACATATTGACATAGATTACATACTATTTTCTTTTTCTTTTAACATATTTTAACCTTTATTTTTATTTTATATCAATAGGTGTTCTGCCTATATGTGTGTCTGTATACCATGTGTGTGTTGGATTCCCTGGAAGTGGAGTTGCAGACAGTTGTGAGCCACCATGTGGGTGCTGAGAATTGAATCCAGGTCATCTGGAAGAGCAACCAGTGCTCTTAACCCCTGAGACATCTCTCCATCCCAGGTTGTATACTATTTTGTAAACTTCCCAGAACAGGCAGCTTTCCTAGGGATGTTTTCCTATCCAGGTAATTGATATGTCCATTTGGATTAACTCTCAAGAGACAAAGAACAAAGTTATGGCTTTATTAGTTACCAGAACGCCCATAGCTTGAAAGTAAATCTTATGATCTTCCCAGTAGTTCAGAATGTCATCTACTCAAGGCCAAAGATACTCTGATCCCATTCTTTAGATTGATAAAAAAAAGTTCTTCAGTTCCTGGGTTTACAAACTGCTGATTATGACTGGAGCCATCCTCAATAATCTTCAAGCCTGCTAATATATAACTAGCTATTTAAGAAGACTAATAATGCCAATGATAAAACCTAAGTCACATGAGGCCCTCCAGTATTAAAATTATAATACTCTTCGTAGATTACATGCTACATTACTTCAAAGTTTCCTTTAACCTAACTCAATACCAATAATTCTATTTTCTTCCAGATACCAGTAGGAACATGTTTTTCTTTTGCATCTTCACTACAGTGCCTAGCCACAGATACTCAATGATAGAAAGGGCATATAGTAAAAGTTTTTTACCAACATAAGGTTATCTTGGCAGTCATGACCCAAGAAATAATACAAAATCACACTATGCAACAAACCACACAAGAAGAGATTTATTGTCAAGAGACACAGAATGCTTCCCAGTCTCTGACTGGGAACAGACAACAGTAGGCTTGGAAGAGGGGCAGGGCTTTATGGGGTCTTTGGAGCATATGCAGTGATCTAGTGCTGTTAGAAGTATTTCTTGGCTGTTAATGCTGAGTCATGGAGGCAGGGATTCCCAAGTCTCAGGTTCAGGGACAGGCCAGGGGCAGGGTTAATTTCCACTGGCTTGTTACTGTAAGCGTTATGTCTCTGAGAGAATGGTGTCCCCAATGCAAGTGTTACAACTCTGAATGGAAATATATCCTTTCCACAAAGTCAAACCATATTACAAATCTTACATGAGATATGTAGGGAAAGACACAAGGATGATGGCCTCTGCCTTGGAGAAAAAGCAGCGAAGAACTGAATGGAAGGCAGGGTTTCTATAAGGTTTTGGAGGGGCAGAATTTTCCAGGGTGGAGATTTCCAGAGTAGGGACTGGTGGGACTTTAAATGAACTTGGAGCAAACCCAGGTATTAGTGGGATTTCAGTCTCATGTTCAGGGATCTCTACTTTATCATGAAGGAATAAAAGAAGCATTTTTCACTGGAAGTCAGTATGAGGCCTAATGAAAGAAATGCACTGAAGCCAAAAGTTTTTACTTAAGGCCTATAGTTCTGGGCTGTCTCCAAGTGAAGGGAGAGCAGCCCCACAAAAAGCAGAGTTTGGGGTTCTGTATGGTGGTTTTAGTTATGTGGGAGAGCATCATGTAGAAAGAAACAGCTGTAAGCAAAAAATTTTTATGGGGGTATGACTGGTCACAATGATAACAGGATGCTGGCAAAGGAGACATTTAGAAAAACAGGATGTTGTGATCAAGCTGCTATGCTGAGATAAGGGTCAGATGATCTCTGAAACATGTAGAACATTCAGTTTCCATTTCCCTGAAGGGGCTAGGTCCCACCCAGGTCATCCATCCTTGGTATCTTCAGTGAATCCATCTTGGACTGGCCTTCTAGTCAGTGTTTTGCAACAAAACTTTTCATGGGGATATGCAACACACATATCTACTCAACCTAGATAGGGAGCCATGACAGACCAAAGTATGGGTACCACAAAAGTCCAACTTGGTGAGCCCGTGAGTTTTATTGAGGTTACTTACATGAGCAGAAATGACTCAAAGACAGCTGCATCACCAAAGCCCACCTAGCACAGGTGACAGATCACAAAAGCTGAGGATCTGAAGCATACTGAATAGTCTGCAGCTAGTTCAACAGGTTGGAGAGTATCTCAAGTGACTCACTTGGTCTAAACCTCTTCCGGGTAGCCCAGCTGGTTTCTTCTTTGCAGCTTTATTGCTTATTCTGGGGGTATGGAGGGAAGGAGTCTAGTGAATCTGGTTGATTTCAGAGATTTCCTGAAGCTATCTTGAGTTGTTTACTTTTCTGCTTAAGGATCTTCCTTGCAGGATGGAACATTTCTGATAAGTTTTTTCTCCACTGTTGAAATGAGCCAATTTGAGCCAAATTAAAGTATATAAGGGCAGGTTTATTGAGAGCCACTCTCAGGTGGGTTCACTGATCCCAAAGAAACAGGCCAAGAAAGTCACTATGGGGAGGGAGACTAAGGGGAGAGGAAAGAGAAAGAAAGAGTGTGTACAAGCAGTGAGAGAGAAAATGCAGAAAGGAGAGACCAGAAAGTTTGGATTATACAGAGCTTCTGTGGGAGGGGAAGCCCAGCCCCTCAGCTGGAAAGCTCAGGGCAGAGGGCAGGATATGCCACTCATGCCCTGCAACAGGTAGGGACTGAGAAATGCTGGGAGAACCTGGAGGCCAGGTCTGCTTTGGTATGTAAAATATGCACCTCAGATGTTTGTCCAGGGTCTGAATCCCAACAATTTCAATCTTAGAGGAAACTGTTGCACAACAGTCAGGCAAGCTGCAATAGAAATAAGAATTTTAATTGGTTTATTTATTCTTTATTTCCTTATAACCAAAACCTATTAATAGTAGATCCAGATGATATTAAAAGGCCCCCCAGAGAGGGGAGACCCCCACTCAGCCCACGAGAGATTATGTCCACCCAAAGACCACGAGACACCGATTCTTGTTGCAATCAGTAAGAGGTATATTTCAATTAGCATGCTGAGGTAGAAACTCATAGCCCACACAAGGGCAGGAGTTTCGACCCCCAGGCTTGGGCGCAAGGGGTATTTAAGGGAAAAAAAACCACAAATGAGGGGGGGGGAGGGAGGGTGAAAGGGGAAACCAAGAGGGAACAGTGGAGAATTCTAACCCACATCATAAAAATAGTAGACAGTTTTCAGCTCATTATTTAGCTGGTCATAAACCAGAGTGGGGAGTGGAAAAACACCCTGTACACGTTTTATTCAAGAATGTGACCTTAACCTGACCATTTTCTTGTGGTCAGCTACTTCCTGGAGTGACTTAGCCAACCTGTATTATTAGTTCTGCTATTCTTTGTCAGAACGACCTGGCTGACCTGCCCCCTGGCTAGTTCTTTCTTTGGGTGGCCAGCTAGTTCCTGGAACCTAGACCTGTGAACCTGCCAACCTTAATTCAGATGGGGGGGGGTGGTCTCGAGCTTCTCTATGAATTTTTATATCCTTTCAATATCAATGCAAAACTAGTAAAGTAAACCTGTTGATAGCAGACAGCTATTTTATATCCATTTGCTTTCCTCAAATAGTTACTAGTACTACTATTGTTCCTCATTCCCCTGCCCCCCAAAGTAAGATGCCTTTTGGAACTAGGGATGTAGCTCAGTCAGTAGAGTGCTAGGTTAATGTGAACAAGGCCATAGGTTTGATCCCCAGCACTGCATAAACCAGACACTCAGATGAAATCAGGAGAATCAGGAGTTCAAGGTTATCCTCAGCTACTCTAGAATAGACTTATGTTTTGACCCTGTCTCAAAAAAAAAATAAGGATAAAAATGTGTTTGTAAGAACATGAGAAAATTCTGGCAGTTCCTTGATGTCCAAATACCATTTTTCAATAGCAAATATTTTCTTTTAACTTTTAGTGTATGTATATGTGATTTGAGTACAGGCATGTGCATATACCACTGACATAATCTAGGGGTCTTAATCTGCCAGTTAAAGGATTAAATGGCAAGAAAAGCAGGAGGACAACAAGTGGCACCAGAGAAATCTCAGGTAGAATAAACAGCTGAAGAAAGGCATTTATTGTGGATAAGGAGACATACACATGCAAGAAAAACACAGAAAAAGACCTCTGCAAAACAAAGTGAAGCCTCAGGAAGACAAAAATCTAATCTCTTCTTGAAGGCTGGGGATTTTAAAATCTCTGAAGTTTTCCTCTCCTAACTTAGGGTTGGTCAGTTTGAAGAAACAAAGGATGGCTGAATGCCCCAGAACTGTTGTGTATAACATACTCTGACCATGCCTTGAAATTGTTGAGCTGGTCCACTAGCAAGACCCCTGCTGATGGAAGACAAAAAGCTTGTTTTGAGCTACCAGGTTTTTGTTTCAAGTCAGGAGTATAAGGAAAAATAAGCCATCTTGGAAATGTTCCACCTTTATTACTTAGCCATGGCCCCTCTTCCTATCTGTCTACATACCAGGGAAATTAAATCCTACTCTCTCATCATGGTACACTTATGGAATTTAAACAACTTTCTAGAGTCAGTTCTCCTCCCATAATGGTATATCCTGGTGAATTCTGCCAAACCCTCCCTTCTACACACCCTCCTCATTCCAACTCTTTTCTTCAAAAGCATTTCTAAGAATCACTGTAACAATGATATAAAAGATATCTTCTGTTGTTAAATATGTGAATAATGCTAACCTAGACACATATAAATAAACTTCTTGTCAGAGTTTAGTTTTTTAAATGTTAATATGAGATACA